TTATATTTTATATATATATATATATATATATATATATATATATATATATATATAGCTTAACAAAAAGAACCCCGGAATCCCCACTACCCAAGTCAAGTTAATTAGTTACGAACATCTTTGACATCCTCTCGTATGCCTCGTTCTGATTCTGTCTCCTACCCCCCCACCTGCTACCAGGGTAATCAGTACCATGAATTTGGAGTTTATTATTCTCTGCATAGTTTATCACATAGATTCTTACCTGTATAATTAGTATACTGTAGTTTTGTCTATTTTTGACCTTTATACAAAGGGATTCATACAGTATGTATCCTTTTTATTCTGATTTCTCATGTTGCTCATAGCTGTAGTTTATTTGTATAGCTATTGTATACTGCCCACTCTTTGATTATGCCACAGTTTGTCTGCCCATTCTCCTGTTTTGTAACCCTGAATTAGTGTAAATGTCTTGTCATTCTTACATGTATGGCAGCTGGAGCACACAGACAAGCTTTCTCTAGAATATGTACCCAGAAGTAGACATGCTGGATTGGAAGGCTGCAAATCTTCACCCTTGCTGGACAATGCTAGCTTGTGCTCGCAAGTCCTTGTGCCTGTTTCTGTTCCCACCAGCAGCATGTGCGAGTTCAGTTTGCTCCATGTCCTTGCCAGTACTTGCTATTGCCAGACTTGCATGTTTTTGTTAATCTGGGGAGAATGGTGTGTCAGTGTGGCTTTATTTTGTCTTTTGCTGATTTCTGATGAAATTGAGCACTGTTTTACATGTTTATCGGCCTTTTGGGTAACCTCGCTATTTGAAGTGCATGCCTTTTGCCCATTTTTCTGTTGGGTTGCTTTCCTCATTGATTTGGAGGAGTTCTTACACATTCTTCTTACCAGTCCTTTATTATAATAATTAAATGTGGTACATATCTTCTTCCACCATGACACGTTATTATGGTCTTTTTACAGTGTCTTTTGAGGAGCTGATGTTTGTAATTTTAAATTTATGGCTAGTGCTATTTGTGTCTTGAAGAAAAAATTCATTTGTATCCTGAGATCATGAATATATTCTTCTGTTATCGTCTAGAAGCTTTGTTGTTTTGCCTTTCACATTTATGTCTGTAATCCACTTGGGGTTGATTTTTGTGTATGGTTTAAGTAGAAGCCCACTTTACTATTGCTAGCATATGATTTCAGTTAACCTAGGACCATTATTGAAAGTCTGCCCTTCATCGACCTTTATCAACACCGCTGACATAATAACAAAAGCCTATGTAAGCACTGGTTTGATTAGAGACACCAAGAAGAAAGATGGTGTGAAACCTAGGAAACAGAAGGGCCAGTACAGAAGACAGAGGAGGGAATCTTCAGGAAGAACCTTCAGTTCACATCAGAGCAGATCAAGAATTTGATAAAATGCCTATTGTTTGCTATATTGAAAGAATAATTACCCAGGTTGGGGAGAGTTTAAGATTGAATTAGTGATAAATAGGAAACTAAATATAGTAGGGATTGATGTAAATAAAAGATATAATTATTGGAAAAAGAAGTAAAAAAAATATTATTTGGAGATAATTGTTTATTTTGGAAAAAAAAACAAAAAACGAGGGACTGTATAAAAATAACCACAAAACTTTACTTAGAGTTTCGAAAGCTCACTGAGATAAATCAAGAGAAATATCATAGCCCTGGAAGGAAAAATGACTATTGTAAAGATGCTTATTTTTTCCAAATTATGTGTTTCAATAATGTCTTAAAGTGTAGTGAAGTTTCAGGGATCATCTTGAGAAATGGACCTGTAAGATGGGTAAGAAATTTTGAAAAAGAAGAGTGATGAGAGAAGACTTGCCTATCAAATATTAAAATGTATTGTAAAGCTCTAGTATAGTAATCAGAGCCTGTGACACAGCATGAGACAGGTCAGTGGCTAGATTAGAAGGCCCGAATCAGACCACTTAGCATATGATAATGATCAGATTAGAAATCAGAGAAAACAAAGAATTATTTAACAAATGCATGGACATTTGGTTAACTCCTATGAAAAAAAATACAGCAATTCATCAGATGTAAAAATTGATTCCAATGGCTGTGTCTTCAAATTCACCACACATTTCTGCAGTGTCTAATCTTGTTAATTCTACTCTATTTATCATTTCAGATATTGCATGTTTATCTCTAGAAGCTCCATTTGGGTCTTATTCTGTCTTCCCTTTCTCTCTCTCATTATATTCATGCTTTCCTTGGCATCTTTGTGCATGTGTATAATATATATAGCTGTTTGAAGACCTTGCCTACTAATTTCATTACCTCCGTCATTCCTGTACCATTTCACCAGTTGACTTTTTCCCCCTCTTTGGTATGGGTCCCATTTTTCTGCTTCTTTGCAAGCCTGAATTTTTTATAAGATATCAGATATTGTGAGGCTTTTGGTGTTTTTAATGTTGAGGGCTAGGTTTTGCTGTATTGGGTTGAGTGGTGGGTTTTGTTTCAGCACGTAGGTAAGTTACTTGCAGATTGCTTTGAGTCTTGCTATTAAGCTTGTTTACTACTAGTGCACAGCAGCTTTTAATCTGAGGCTAATTAGGTCCCACTACTAAGTCATGACCTTTCTGAGGAATCCACCCAGCGCCCTATGTATTCTAGGGCTCTCCACTTTAGCTCTTAGGAATGCAAACTATCTCCAGTTCTTGGTGAGTCCATTTTCTCCTGCCTTCCAGGGGTACTTTCTCCAGCCTCCCAGACTCCCATGTGTTGAGGCATTAACCTCATGCCCTTACACACCTGTAATCAGCCAAAGGCTTGAAGGAGTGTGTCTCTGAGCTCTCACTCACTTCCTTGCTGTCTCCCTCCCTCACCCCTGCTTGTTCCCATATCTCCAGTTGTTGGCCCTGCACATGTGGCTGGCTAGGTCTCCGCCAGCTCCAGCCTCTGTCTCCTCAAGTCAGGGAGACCCCAGGCTCTGTGTGTTCCTCTGCCTCGTGCTGCAGCCTGAGTATGGCCTCAGGCTCTAAGCTGGGCAGGGGTCAGGCTCACCTTCTTTCCCTGTCAGTGATTGCAGCCCCACACTGCCTGTCGTCCAGTTTATGAAAACTATTGTTTCAGTTTTTATTCAACTTCATGGTTGTTTCTGTATCAGAATTTTTTTGAGAATAGACTACATCAGTTCAATTCTTTAGATGCTTTGCTCTCAAATACTGCGTGAGTGCATCATGAGAATTTTGCGTCTTAGATCCATCCCTCTCTCTTTACCCATGCTCCCCTTGAGAGCAGTGATTCTCAAAGGAATGATTTTGCCTCACCCACACCTTGGGGACAATTTTGGTTGTCAAAGGTGGGGTGGAGGTGCTGCTTCTGGTGTCTAGTAGATAGAGGTTAGGGATGCTGGTAAACATCCTTCAGTGCACAGGACAGCCCCCCACAATAAAGAATTACTCAGCGTTCACCAGCCCAAAATGTCAGTACGGCCAAGGTTGAGAAACTTTGCTTTAGAGTATTTGGTCATAAAATCCATCTCAAAAATGTAGGACCTTTTTGTGTTTGTTAGGAACCCTAAGATGACATCCCAACTTTTGTAAAATCTTTGAAATCTGTGCTCATGAATCTATTCGTTTTCTTCTGTTGGCTTGAATTGAGGCCATGCTAATAGTTTTCTTTGTTGGTTTTCTCAACCTTTGGCTTTGTCCTTGGATTTTTTTTCTCAGCTGATGTGATTATTATGGTATTTCTGTTCTTGAATAACGTAACAGAGATGCAAAATAATATGTACTCATTCTTTTTGGGGAAAGAGCAAAGAACAGAGTTGTAAGAGGTGGAACAATATTTTCAGTGACTCAAAGTTATTTGCAGTTAATAATAGTGTTGCTTCAGCTTCACCATATGCAATTATTTTTCTTTAACAAAAAAAAGTTGATTTTAGTTATTTAGTATGAATATTGAAAAGAGTTTATATTGAGTCTGTAATTTAAGGAATGCTTTAGAAGTACGAGTAACATTGGCCCTGTGATTTTCATATTTTGCAAGTGAAAGTTTCAGCAAGAGACTATATAGCATCATTTTCTTATATAACCTCTCTTTGCTCTTGACAGCCCTATTTGTGATTTTGTATTTTAGCCATCAAAAGCTCTTTTAAACTTTCTTTGCTTGGCTTTGTGAGTTACAAAACAAAAATAAATGAGCCTGACCCTCATACTCCTTTCTCTGTAGGACTGTAGTGTCTACATGTAAGGATTCAGCTCACACACACAAAGGGACATGTAGACGGTATAAAGTTACAGGTCATGAAATAGAATCAGACTGGGCAGCAATAAATGAAACCTTAACAAATCTCACCTAGCCTCACTGTATAGATGATGAAACCGAGAGTCACAGTAATTTAATGTACTTAGAACGGTCATGGAGCTAGTTACAAGGAAAGCTTAGCTTGAACACAGGTCATCTGTTTTCTGCAGAGGTCATGATGTTCACCTTCTCCGTGTGGCTGGACCTCTGGGCTTTTCTTTCTGGGTCCAGCACCAGCCCCTTTATCTCCGACCATCTCCAGGGGACCCTGGCGGTTTAATGGTCACATCCCTAGCAGGGAGAGAGTTACCTCTTCATTAATTATATAGTTTCCCTTTGTCTCTGATAGGTGGCTATTTCACTTTTCAAGTACTAGCCATTATTTTTTTTCTACTTGTTCTTAAAATTTTTTAGATGAATCAGGAAAACAAAGTAACACTGTCCTTGCGAATTTGTTGACCTCCTTTTTTCTTAGAACGCTTTTAAAAGCTCAAGGGTTAGAGGTTTCCTTTTACTGAAAAATTAACTGGTTTGGTTTCCTGGCCTTTTTGATATTGCAGTCATCTATCTTGTAATGGAGTTTGAATTTTCTTTCATAGCTTTACCTGTAATATCTGTATCTCAGAAATATCAATTCAGTTGGAATGGCTGATTGACCATTTAACTCTTATGCTAGCTTTTAATGAAGTTCTTCGCAGAGCTTTCTGGTCTGTGGCTTCAATTGTTCCTTAATGAGTTAGGGCAGGTATGTGTGCTGCTTCCTTCTAAATTAAGCCATATGGTTCATATGTTTTTATCTCCAAAGATTGGATGGGTCAAATTAATGGTCAGGACAGCCCCTCCCTGGCAGGAGGGCACTTAAAGTAAAACAACTTAAATGTGTCTGTTTTTTGGTTTTTTTTGGGTTTTTTAGTTTCAGGTGTACAAAACAATGTAATAGTTAGACATTTACACCCGACAAACTGATAACCTCCCTCCACTCTGATATGGTATATAGTTGATACAATTCTACTGATTCTGTTCCCTATGCTGTACTCCACATCCTGTGAATATATATGAAACATATATAATTATAGTTGACATTCCATATTATTCAGCTTTAGGCATACAGCCATGAAGTGTATGTGTAGATGCTTAATAAGACAAGTGCCCATCTGACCCCCTACAAAAATCTTTACAACATTATTGATTGTATGCCTCAAACCGTATTTCATATCCCTGTAGCTATATTGTGAATACTAATTTGTACTTTCTAAGCCCTTTACCTTCTCCCCCTCCCCCAACCTAGAAACCCTCAGGTTTTTTTTCCCCTATGTCTCTGAGTCTATTTTTGTTTTGTTTGTTCGTTTATTCTGTTCTTTAGATTCCATATATAAGAGAGATCATATAGTATTTGCCTTCCTCAGTCTGACTTATTTCACTTAACATAATGTTCTCTACGTCCATCCATGTCATTGCAAGGGGTAATGTTTCATTCTTCTTTATGGCCGAGTAATACTCCATTGCATAAATATACCACAGTTTCTTTATCTAATCATCTATCGATGGGCATTTTGGTTTCCATATCTTGTAATCAACAGGCTCCCAATCAAAAGCCCAGGACCAGATGGCTTCACTGGTGAATTTTACCAAACATTCAAAAAAGAATTATCACCTATTCTCAAATTATTCCAAAACATCCAGAAGGAGGGAATTCTCCTAAGCTCATTTTACAAGGTCACTATCACCCTGATCCCAAAACTGGACAAAGACATTACAAAAAAAGAAAACTATAGGCCTATATCCTTAATGAACAAAATATTAGCAAACCAAATTCAGCAATACATTAAAAAGATCATACACCATGATCAAGTGGGATTCACTCCTGGTATGCAAGTTTGGTTCAATATCCACAAGTAAATTAACGTGATACATCACATTTACAAAATGAAAAATAAAAATCATATCATCTTATCAATAGATGCAGAAAAAGCATTTGACAAAATCCAGCATCCATTTATGATAAAAACTCATAGCAAAGTGGGAATAGAGGGGTCATATCTCAACATAATAAAGGCCATATATGATAAACCCACAGCTAACATCATACTCAATGGGGAAAAGCTAAAACCATTCCCCTTAAGATCAGGAACAAAACAACGTTGCCCACTTTCACCACTTTTTTCAACATAGTTCTGGAAGTTCTAGCCACAGCAATCAGACATGAAAATGAAATAAAAGACATCCAAATTGGAGAGGAAGAAGTAAAATTGTCATTATATGCAGATGACATGATACTATATAGACAGAATTCCACCAAAAAACAGAACTGATAAATAAATTTAGTAAAGTAGAAGGATACAAAATTAACATTCAGAAATCAGTTGCATTTGTATACACCAATTAAATGTGTCTTTATATCAAATTAGCTTACCTTCCATACCTCACTGGTTTGCTTTTTGGTTACAGTGATTTTTAAATCTCTTGAAATCATCATTGGAAGCATACCTTTCAGATGTAAAGTAAAAAAACGGAAGAAAATCCAGGATGAAATAATAATTTTTAAAATCTGAGCATTTCTTTTGGTTTATTTTCCAATTTTGTGATTATGTTCATGCTAGGTTTTACTTTTATTCAACTGCTTTGATTTGTGCTAGTTTGCCCAGTGCAGTTTGAATTAATTTTATACCAGTGGTAAAATTAAGCTCCTTTTTTTATGAAGAACAAGAAATATTTTTGACCACTTGATCCATAACCTTATTATTTAACTTAAATCTATACTTCTGTTATTCATGCAAATATTTTTTATATTTGCTTGAGAATATACAGAGGGTGCCAAAAAAAAAGTATACACATTTTAAGAAAGGAAAAAACTGTTTTTAAATTGTAATACTCAATATATACTGATAACAAAAGATGAATACAAGTCATGTGTATACACTTTTTGGGCACCCACAGTATATATATTTTTTGATTTCACATTTTAGTAAGGAAGAGATTATTTTGTCAGATATCTCATCACTTGTCTTAAACTCAACTTCCCAATAATTTCAGCTATCCAAATACAGACAAGAGCAAGGTAATTTAAAATAAAAAGGAATGAGATGAGAGGTGGCTTCTGAGTAACAAAATAGATGATACAAAATCTGTTAACTTTGTCCATAGGAAATTTTCTCAGCATCTCAGATTAAAACCTTTTTTTATTCTTAAGGAAAAATCTCTTAAAAGTCAAATGATGTGATTTTCATGCCCAAAGCAGGTCAGAAGCAGCAAAGTAGAAAGAGCTATTAGAGGTCAGCACATGACGGTAAAGGAACAAGAGAAAACCCAGCACCGTAAACAAACTCAAAAAGCACTGCCGACTAGGGGTGAGGTCTACCGCGGGGATTCCTCTGGTAGTGTTGACCCCATGTTATTCAGAAGAGGTTTAGACTGTCTGGTGAACTCTCAGAAAACAGGATACATTTCAGAAAGATAAATTTGCCTAATTTTTGTTCCCACCACTCAGCTTTGTCCAACCTTAACATGTTGCCATTTTTCATATCTTTTTTAAGAAATAAAATAATGTAGTTATGTTTGGAGCCCTATTTTGTCCCCTTTCTTTCCCTCCCATGAGTTGTACTGTCTTAAAATTTATACTCATCATTCCCATGCATTTTTTTCACTTACACTACAGATATGGATATATTCTCTCTCTCTCTCTCTCTCTCTCTCTCTCTCTCTCTCTCTCTCTCTCT